TTGGTCTTTTAATGTCCTCTACAGAAGCAGGCTCCCTCTCCCCCCTCCCTCCCTCCTTCTCTGGCTTTTCTCTCCTCTCTTTGTTTATTTCCCTCTCTGCTGCTCTCCCTCGCTCTGGGTTTTTTCGTTCCAGAAGTTTTTCATTTTGATCGAGTCGCAGCTATCATTCTGGGCCTGGCGCCGCGTCAGCGGCGGGGGGAGGGGCGCGCGCGGGGGGAGGGGCGGGGCGGGGAGGAGCGGGCGGAGCGGCTGCGGGAGTTGCTGGGAGCGCGCGCGGTAGGATCACACGGCGGTGGCGGCGGCGGCGGCGGCGGAGGCCCCGAGCCCTGAGCGCTGAGATCTCGGCCCGCGGCCTACACGGAGCCATCTCTCCAGCCGAGGAGCGGAAGCCCGCAGCCTTCATCACCGAGGTACTGTGCTCCGCGCTCCCCGCCCGAGCCGGCCCAGCCTGCTGCGGCGGCGCCTCCTTTCTCCTCCTTCCCTCGCTTTCTCTCTCTCGCCCGTCCGCCCGCGCCTTCCCTGTCTGCCTGCGTCACCGCGGCCGCCATGGCTGAGAACGGCGAGAGCAGCGGCCCCCCGCGCCCCTCCCGCGGCCCTGCTGCGGCCCAAGGCTCTGCCTCTCCCCCGGCCGAGCCCAAAATCATCAAAGTCACCGTGAAGACCCCCAAAGAGAAAGAGGAGTTCGCGGTGCCCGAGAATAGCTCGGTGCAGCAGTTCAAGGAAGCGATCTCGAAACGCTTCAAATCCCAAACGGATCAGCTGGTGCTGATCTTCGCCGGAAAAATCCTAAAAGATCAAGATACCTTGAGCCAGCACGGCATCCATGATGGACTGACCGTTCACCTTGTCATCAAAAGCCAGAACCGACCTCAGGGCCAGACCACACAGCCCAGCACGACCGCGGGAACGACTACTACTACCACCACCGCGTCGACTCCCAGGAGTAACTCCACACCTATTTCCACAAATAGCAACCCGTTTGGGTTGGGGAGCCTGGGAGGACTTGCGAGCCTTAGCAGCCTGGGCTTGACCTCGACCAGCTTCACCGAGCTGCAGAACCAGATGCAGCAGCAGCTCCTGTCCAGCCCTGAGATGATGCTCCAAATCATGGAAAATCCCTTTGTTCAGAGCATGCTTTCGAATCCCGATCTGATGAGGCAGCTCATCATGGCCAATCCACAGATGCAACAATTGATTCAGAGAAACCCAGAAATCAGTCACCTGCTCAACAACCCAGATATAATGAGGCAGACCCTCGAAATCGCCAGGAATCCAGCCATGATGCAGGAGATGATGAGAAATCAAGACCTGGCCCTCAGCAATCTCGAAAGCATCCCGGGGGGCTATAATGCCCTACGGCGCATGTACACTGACATTCAAGAGCCGATGCTGAATGCCGCACAGGAGCAGTTTGGGGGTAATCCGTTTGCCTCCGTGGGGAGCAGTTCCTCCACCGGCGAAGGTTCGCAGCCTTCCCGCACCGAAAATCGAGATCCGCTGCCCAATCCGTGGGCACCACCGTCGGCTACTCACAGTTCTGCAACCACCGGCACCACCTCGAGCAGCGGCAGCGGGTCCAGCGGTAGCTCCAATAATCCCGGGAACACTATGGCCGCGGCCAATTATGTCGCCAGCGTCTTCAGCACCCCGGGCATGCAGAGCCTGCTGCAGCAGATAACTGAAAACCCCCAGCTGATCCAGAATATGCTGTCTGCGCCCTACATGAGAAGCATGATGCAGTCGCTGACCCAGAATCCAGATTTGGCTGCACAGATGATGCTGAACAACCCCGTGTTCTCGGGAAACCCTCAGCTACAGGAGCAGGTTCGTCCGCAGGTCCCTTCTTTCCTGCAGCAGATGCAGAGTCCAGACACGCTGTCAGCCATGACAAACCCGAGAGCCATGCAGGCGCTAATGCAGATCCAGCAGGGGCTACAGACATTAGCCTCTGAAGCGCCTGGCCTCATTCCAAGCTTCACTCCAGGTGTGGGGGTGGGGGTGCTGGGAACCGCTATAGGCCCTGTAGGCCCAGTCACACCCATAGGTCCCATCGGCCCCATTGTGCCGTTTACCCCCATTGGGCCTATTGGGCCCATAGGACCCACTGGCCCTGCGGGTCCTCCTGGCTCCACTGGTTCTGGCAGCACCCCTGGGCCCACCGTGCCTAGCTCTGCATCCAGTGAAACCACGAGCCCAACATCAGAATCTGGACCCAGCCAGCAGTTCATTCAGCAAATGGTGCAGGCTCTGGCTGGAGGAAATCCTCCTCAGCTGCCAATTCCAGAAGTCAGATTTCAGCAACAACTGGAACAGCTCAACGCAATGGGCTTCTTAAACCGCGAAGCTAACTTGCAGGCTCTAATAGCAACAGGAGGCGACATCAATGCAGCCATTGAGCGGCTGCTGGGCTCCCAGCCATCCTAATTACATTTCTGTACCTTGGAAAAATGTATCTTATTTTTGATAATGGCTCTTAAATCTTTAAACACACACAAATCATGCTTTACTTTCATTTTGATTCTTTTCAATCTGTCTAGTTATAAATCTAATGATAGATTTTAAGGTGGAGTCCATACCTGCCTCCTTCCTTCCTTCCTTTCCTCTCTGCTCCCTCCCCTCTCCCTCCCTCCCTCTCTCCTTCCATTTCCTTCCTTGTCTGTTTTGAATGGTGGGAATCAATACTGTTTTACTGTTTTTCTCAAAAGTGTTGCATGCAGACACTTCTCTTTATTCTGCATTTATTGTGATTTTTGGAAACAGGTATCAAACTTCACAGTTGGGTGAACAAGTTTTGTTCTTCAGATGTCCAATTTGTTTGCATTTTAAACATTAGCCTATGATAGTAATTTAATGTAGAATGGGAAATATTAAAACAAGAAGCAAATTATCTGAAGCTCTCTAATTTGTGGTACAATATTGCTTATTGTGACTTTGGCATGTATTTTTGCTAGCAAAATGCTGTAAGGTTTATATCATTCTTTGATTTTTTGCTATATTTGTATACAGTACAGTAAGCACAATTGGAACTGTACATCTAGAAATGTTACAACAGAGTTTCTGAGCATAATATGTGTAATCACAGTGAGAAAGAATATAAGTATTTCTGGAGCTAGGTATGTAACAATTTTGTAGAATCTTACAGCATCTTTGATCAACTTCTCAGTGAAAATGTTGGCTAGGCAAGTTCAGTTAAAATATAGTAGAAATGTTTATCCTGGTATTTCTAAGTATACATTTAATTGTACAGAAAACTTACTGTGTGAAATTGTGTCAACATTTGCTGATTGACTGTATATGACCTTAATCTTTGTGCGGCCTGAAGGATCAGTGTAGTAATGCCAGGAAAGTGCTTTTGACCTAAGATTTCCTTCTCAGCTTCTCTCATAAAGAGACCCTAATAATACACATTTTGATTTGTAATTGGAAATGTAACTTTCACTGAAAATGTCATGTGATGTTTGCATTACTTTTAACTGCGATGTGTAAAGGATACTGTATCTTTTGACTCTATCAGTTATTTCTCTTATGCACAGGGAAAAAAGCATTAAAATGACTAAAAAAAATAAAAAATAATAAAAAATGGATAAATGGCTTCCTTTTTGCCTTCTGGCCCTAGGATACTGTTTAGTAGCATTGCTCCACCCCAAGATTTTATAAATCTTATCCTATATTTCTCTAATTTTAATGGTTTTACTAAAAAAAAAATACTCCTTTTCTCTTCTGCAATGATTTTGATATACAGGTTTAGGGATTTAATTTTTTTTTTCTTTCCCAAAAATTAGCCAGTTGTTAGCTAGTATTTATCTCTTGAGCACCATCCATATACACACACACACACACACACACACACTTTATTTTGGCTTTTTCACAATTTATGTAAAAATACGTTTTTATTGATTTCAGAGAGGAAGGGAGAGGGAGAGATAGAAACATCAGTGACAAGAGAAGCTGCCTCCTGTATGCCCCCTACTGGGATCAAGCCCACAACCTGGGCATGTGCCCTGCCTGAGAATCCAACCATGACCTGGTTCATGGGTCGATGCTCAACCACTGAGCCACACCCGCTGGGCTATTTTTCACAATTTTGGATGATTCTGGCATTTATTTGTACCACATGAACTTTGCAGTTAATTGGTTTCCCCCAAGAATAAATTGGGAATTTGGTTGGGACTGTCTTAAATTGGTATAATAGTGAGAATTATAGAATTGCAGTGCTTTCCAGGAACATGATACTTTGTCTCATTTAAAAAACATTTTATATCCTGTAGGGGCTTTTCATTTATTAAAGTCCTGTATAATCTATGATAAATGTATTCCTAGGTAACACATACACACAGGAAAAAATAATGCGAATGGGAGCTCTTATTCAATTTGTTACCTATATGGGCATTTTTGCTACATAGGGTAAGAATATTTTCATAGAATAATTTTAAATTGGCAATTTCCTGAAATCTATTCATTTCAGAGATATTCATTTGATCCCTGAGTTTTTCCTAGTAAGCAGTCATATCAATGATAAGTTAGAATAATATGTGTTCCTTTTCAAAATTTAATATAGTTTCTGACTGCATGGGGTAAACACTTCTAGAACAGTCCAAGTAATAAAAGTGGCAAGGGCATTCTTGTCTGGGTTTTCATTTTAACCAGACGAGGTTTGCTACAGCGATTCAAAATTGCATTTTTGAAAACACATTCCTCCGGGAGATGATCAAATAAGTTTGCAACACGCCGTGTACTACAGCCCCTCTTCAAGAGCCCTGGTGCAGTAAATATTGACCAGTATTATTTTTTTTTAAGAATAAAAGCTACTGCCAAAGCCAGTTTGGCTCAGCGGATAGAGTGTCGGCCTGCGGACTGAAAGGTCCCAGGTTCGATTCTGGTCAAGGGCATGTACCTGGGTTGCAGGCACTTCCCCAGTGGGAGGTGTGCAGGAGGCAGCTGATCGATGTTTCTCTCTCATCGATGTTTCTGACTCTCTATCTCTCTCCCTTCCTCTCTGTGGAAAATCAATAAAATATATTTTAAAAAAAAAAAAAGCTATTTAGTTTAAAAAAAAAAAAAAAGAATAAAAGCTATTTAACTTTGTTTCATTCAGCACTTCCCAAACTGATTTGAGTAAAGGACACCTTTTTAATTTTAAACGCACCTCATAACATTTGGCCTATCCGCGTTCCTCAGAAAACCAAGGTAGGAAATATGATTTGTTATTTCATTGCTATATCATGCTGGGTGTTTGCGATCATAATAAAGACAAAGTCTGCCATAAAAATGAGAATTTTAATGAATGGCCTGGATGCTTTTACAGGGAAATAAACCCTAAACTATGCCAGTGGCATAGAAAACAGCAGTAAATCAGCAGCAGGAAAAACTGGATGTTGTCGGAGGCCTGGCTCAGACGGTTTAGCAGGTAAATTCCTTAATTACTCTTGCAAAGTGTTTGTCTGATTTTCAATACATTTTGTTTTCTCCTGGAAAAGACTCAAGGCTTTATTAAGTGTACTGTAGTTTTTATTTTGCTTTCTAGTATGTTTTTGTTTATAACTGTATTTCCTCTTTCAAAAATCACTTTGAACTCTTTGTCCTTCCTCCATGCCTTACATGAGGTAGTTTTTTTTCCTATTATTTTGCAAGTTGTTTTTCCAGGCTCTGTTTTGGTTTGGGGTTTTATTTATCTACAGTCAATTCACAGTGTATCTATTTATTCACCATGGGATCAAGAAGGGTACATCCTGACCTGCCAACCCTTCCCCTCCAGAAAGAGTGGGGCAGTGCTTATAGGCATTCACTGTTTGCTGCTTGTCACCCCCTCCCTGAGCTCACACTGGGCTGCTGGAAGGTGTAAGTTTATATACTGGGGCTGTGATCAGCAGGATGAGGTAGTGGGGAGGGAGCCAGGGTCCTGGGCAACCCCAGCAGGAGTTCACCTCAAGATGGCTTTTCTGCCCTAGCCAGTTTGGCTCAGTGGATGGAGCATCGGCCTGCCGACTGAAGGGTCCTGGGTTCGATTCTGGTCAAGGGCACATACCTGGGTTACAGGCTCCAGGGCGAGTGTAGGAGGCAACCAATTGATGTTTCTCTCACATTGATATTTCTGTCTTTCCCTCTCTCTTCCACTCTCTGTAAAAAAAAAAAAAATTAATGGAAAATTACCCTTGGGTGAGGATTAAAAAAAAAATGAGGTTGAAAAAACAAATAGTAAATGACAAAACAAATTTTTTTTTTTTTAAAAAAGGCTTTTCTCATGTGCTCTTTGGCCTCTACTTCAGGTACGTGGTTGATACATATATTCTCACCAGTTGTGTGGTGGTGTGGTGGTGGGGGGATTAGATACACAACATTAAAACAAGCCCTGCTGGCTCATTCAAGAGGACTCATCTCGGGTGGGGATCACCATGTTGATTGAAAAGCCACAATCAGAGACACTGACTTGCCCTCTGAGAGTGATCAGCCTGCGCCAACTTCTGCTGATCTGAAGTGGCAAAATAGGAGCAAATGGAGTCATTCTAGTCAGGGCCTCACTCGGGTGGGGTTTAAGGTGTCAGGAGAGCCATCTGGCCTGTGTCTCACATTCACAAAAGGGCTCAAATTTAGGATTTTGACATTACCCTCAAATGAATTGCCTACTCCAGCCAGAGCCAGATTAACATGGTGGAAAATGCTCATCATACAGCTTAATTTAATAAATGGGATTTTTTAAAACTCTGGCAATTTTGGTATTTCTAATTTGACATTATTTTCTTTAAAAAATAGACTTGAAGGCTTACGTAAAATGGTCATTACTCAGGCTGCTCTCAACTTATGAGAGGTTCGCATCCTAGTCATTTTCACTGATTTGCCCCTACTTCCAGTCCTTACATATATATACTAGAGGCCCGGGACATGAATTCGTGCACGGGTGGGGTCCAGGTCGGCCCACGGAGGGGCTGCAGGAGGTTGGCCTGCCGGCCCTGCCCTCGATGGGAGTTGGGGGTGAGGCCTGCCGGGGGGAGGGGCTGCGGGCAGTTGGCCAACTGGCCCTGCCCCCTGGTCAAACTCCCTGTTGAACTCCTGGTTGAACTCCCACTCAAACTCCAGGTTGAGGGGGAAATTTGCATATTAGCCTTTTATTATATAGGATTGCCAGTGTGCGTCATATGTACCAGCCAATTGGTTGGTCGGACAGTCGGTCACTTAGCCTTTTATACATATATATATATCTATTATCTATTATATAGATACTAGTGGCCCGGTGCACAAAAATTTGTGCACTTGCGGAGGGGTCCCTCAGCCCGGCATGTGCCCTCTCGCAGTCTGGGACCCCTCGGGAGATAACGACCTGCTGGCTTAGGCCTGCTCCTGGGTGGCAGAGGGCAGGCCCAATCCCTAGGTGCAGCCCCTGGTCGGGCTCAGAGCAGGGCCGATTGGGGAGTTGGGGCGCCGCCCCGTCATGCACAGAGCAGAGCGGATTGGGAGGTTGCGATGCCACCCTCAGTCACGCTCAGGGTAGGGCCGATTTGGGGGTTGGGGCAACGCCCCCTGTCACACTCAAGGCAGGGTCGATGGGGAGGTTGTGGCACCACCCCCTGTCACGCACAGAGCAGGGGCCATCAGGGGGGTTGGGGAGCTCACCCCTGTCACCCACAGAGCAGGGCTGATCAGGGGGTTGGGGTTCCCCCACTGTCACACTCAGGGCAGGGCTGATGGGGAGGTTATGGCTCTACCCCATCAGACACAGAGCAGGGCCCGTGGAGGGGGGGTTGGGGCGCTGCCCTCTATCACCCACAGAGCAGGGCCGATAGGGGAGTTGGGGCGCCGCCCCCTGTCACACACAGAGCAGGGCCGATCAGGGGGTTGGGGTGCCGCCACTCTCACACTCAGGGCAGGGCTGATGGGGAGGTTATGGCTCTACCCCATCACACACAGAGCAGGGCCTGTGGGGGGGGGGGTTGGGGCGCCGCACCCTGTCACACACAGAGCCGCAGGGCAATCAGGGGGTTGGGGAGCTCCCCCCATCAGGCACAGAGCAAGGCTGATCAGGGGGTTGAGGGGCCTTCCCCTGTCACGAACAGAGCAGGGCCGATAGGGAGGTTGTGGCCCCGCCCCCTGTCACACACAGAGCCACAGGGCGATCAGGGGGTTTGGGCGCTGCCCCCTGTCACACTGATCCCGGGGCTGGCTGGTTTGCCCTGAAGGGTGTCCTGGATCAGGGTGGGGGTCCCCACTGGGTGCCTGGCCAGCCTGGGTGAGGGGATGATGGCTGTTTGCAGCTGGTCACACACCCTTCAGGGTGGGGGTCCCCACTGGGGTGCCTGGCCAGTCTGGGTGAGGGGCTGAGGGCTGTTTTCAGGCTGGCGGGTGACTGGAGCTCCCAACCGCTCCTTTTTTTCTTTTTTTTTTTATTCTGGGCCAGCTTTAGCTCTGAGGCTCCAGCTCTTAGGCCTCCACTCCTGAAAGCAGGTATCTGGTTTGTTTCGGTTCTATAATCGAAACAATGTATAACTCCAGCTCTGAGATCCTGGCTCGCTGAAAGCAGGTTTCTGGGGTTTTGTTTAGCTTCTATATTTGTTACAATGTTTCAAACTGCAGGCTCAGAGGCCGGCAAGGCAGGCAGGGAACGTTGGAGTCCTCCGTCACTGAAGCAAGCAAGCCTCATGTTAGTTTCAAGCTGCCTGGCTGCCGGCCGCCATCTTGGCTGGCAGTTAATTTGCATATCACCCTGATTAGCCAATGGGAAGGGTAGCGGTCGTATGCTAATTATCATGTTTCTCTTTTATTAGATAAGATACTATATAAGAAAAGGCTAATATACAATGTGTTGCTATGACACACTGACCACCAGGGGGCAGACGCTCAACACAGGAGCTGCCCCCCCCCATGGTCATTGTGCTCCCATAGGGGGAGCACCACTCAGCCAGAAGCCGGGCTCGTGGCTGGTGAGCGCAGCAATGGTGGTGGGAGCCTCTCCTGCCTCTGCGGTAGCGCTAAGGATGTCTGACTATGGGCTTAGGCCCACTTCCAATGGGGAGCGGGCCTAAGCCATCAGTTGGACAGCCCCCGAGGGCTCCTGGACTGCGAGGGCATAGGCTGGGCAGAGGGCCCCCACCCCCCTCTCAGTGCACGAATTTCATGCACCAGGCCTCTAGTAATATATAAAATCTTTGATGAAAATGGCATTTTAAAGAGTACTATACTAAGTGAAATAAGCCAGTCAGAGAAAGACAAGTACCATATGATTTCACTTATATGTAGAATCTAATGAAAAAAATAAAATAGAAACAGAATCATAGATACAGAAAACAGACAGCTGTCAGAGGGGAGGGGCGCTGGGGGGCTGGGTGAAAAAGGTGATGAGATTAAGAACAAAAACCTCACAGACACAGTCCTTGCTTTTTTTAAACTAGATGGTATTAGAGGTTTTCTGCCAGAATTTTCTTGGTTTGTCAGAAGGTCACAAAACTTTTGATTGGTGATTTGCTTCAGTATGGCCTAATCAACATCATGATTCACAGAAATTGAGGCTTCTGAGGCCCACATTATACATGTGTTGCTCATTTTCCTGTGGTCACTTCTGTTGATTTGTGAAAAGAATTTGGGACCTGTTTTAATGCTGCTATCTTCCTGGAAGTCTGTTAGGAGACCTAAAGAAAAAGCAATTTCTTAAAAATAGAAAGGAGAGCCCTGGTTGCTCAGTGGTTAGAGCATCCACCTGTGGACCAAAGGATTATGGGTTCAATTCCTGGTCAAGGGCATGTACTTGGGCTGCAAGTTCGATCCCCGGCCCCAGTCAGGGTGCATGCAGGAGGTGATCAATCGATGTTGTCTCTCTCATATCGATATTTCTCTCTCTGTGTCTCTTCCCCTCCCTTCCACTCTCCAAAAATCACTGGGAAAAAAATCCTCAGGTGAGGATTAACAAAAAAATAGAAAGGAGAAGCATGATTTGGAAGACATCAGACTGAAGCCACCCCCAAAAGCAGCTTCATCAGATGGTTTACACGTTTACCTAGGGTTCAGACACTGATGATAAGTAAAAACCCTTGGTGAAAACTGCTCTACACCAACAAACTTAAAAGTATGGTCCTAGCTGGTTTGGTTCTGTGGATAGAGCATCAGCCTGCGGACTGAAGAGTCCTGGGTTCGATTCCAGTTGGGGGCATATGCCTGGGTTGTGGGCCAATCCCCAGTGTGGGCTGTGCAGGAGGCAGCCAATCAATGATTCTCTCTCATCATTGATCATTGATGTTTCTATCTCTCTCCCTCTCTGAAATTATATATATATATATATATATATATATATATATATATATATATATATATATATATATTACCAGAGACCTGGTGGCATGGATTCATGCACCGGTGGGGTCCCTTGGCCTGGCCTGTGGGGATTGGGCCAAAACTGGCTCTTTGACATCCCCTGAGGGGGTA